TAATACTTTTTACATGTGGAAAGTGTTCTATCATCATGCTCCTCTCCGACGTGATAACTAGCCGTACCACAAGAATCAACAATGAAATCAACTTTTGCCTTCTTTTCCTTTATCAAAGCCAACATGACAATCTCTGCCATTGGTGACCGACAAATATTTCCGAGACAAACAAAACATACAGAACAATTCTTCCCTGATTGAGCTGACATTTTTTATGTATTGTTTTTTCAATTTTCTTTGTTATATACAAAAGCAATTAGATAATATTGAAGGCAAGCCAAGTTTCGTCCTTTGCATTTTGGATTTGTTTTGGAAATAGACATAGTTCGTTCCGTTAGCATTGTTTTTGGCATTGTTTAAAGAAATATAGAATAGTTTCAAAATCAAAATTTCACTCTCATTTATATTATATACAATCTTAGTATCTTTGAGTTTACAATTAATACTCTTAAATTACAATTTCAAAGCTGGATATCAAAATTATTGAATGGAACATTCCTTCTTTTCACCTTCCTGAGGAGCAGTCTCTGATGAGGCTGCAGCAACATCGGATGCACCCTCAAACTCTCCAACTATATACTTTTGCATGTCACTCTTAGCACTACTTCCATGACCAGCATCATTGAAGGCCTTTGTGCCATCTTTACCAGCCCATTCGAGAATGACATCTTCACCACCCGGATGTTCATCCTTATACGTTCCAAAGGCTACAACCTTTCCCGAGATAATAATCCAAGGATCTTGATGATTTGGACCATGTTCTTCAACTTCAGAGAGTGCAATGTTTCTCACCATTTTGTATGTTTCTATATTATTGTTGTTTTGTTTTTTTCAAATTGTTGTTTTACTGTCTTGTATCCAAAGCTGACAAATTTATTCTCCAAATAGATCTAAATGATGAGGAGTATTGGGAGAATGGGGTAATATTGGATTCTGAATATGTACAAATGGGAGTTTTTTACTGGGAATAAGGACGTTAGAGATTCGAATCTATATAATTATGTTGAAAATAATTACTGCTCTGATGGAATGGATAATGCATGTTATGAATTGATTAATAAATAGAAGAAGTTGTAATACAAGTACCAGAACAAACACTTGAATCTAAAGAGGACTCTCAAGTAAAGAAGCAAGGAAGAAAACGAAAGAATATATGAACTAACATTGTAAATAAACAATGAGTTGCTCTTTCGTCCTTTCTTGGAAAGGTTGGTTAAGTATTCAGAGTTCTTTAAAGATCTAAAACAGTCAGTAAAAGATGTTTAAAAATTAATACTTTTATTAATATCGTTCAATGTAGATTTTCAAGTATCTCAAATAAAATCACTAAATTTGATCTGACTGAGAAATGCGGTATGTGGTTGCCAAATTTTTTGTAATAACTTGGCGGATTTTTCATTATCCTTCTTTGGACATAAAATATAGTCTTCATTGAGTTCAAAGTGAGTCTCGTGCTTAACATATGTTCTGCAACTTCATTGATCTTCAACGTCTTGTCTTTCATACTTATAGCTCCGTTCAGAGATTCTCTAATATATTTTGATTCTTTGTTATTATAGTTGTTTTCCAAATGTGCAACAAGGTTTGTTTTAAATATCTCAGAACTATAATGAGTGTAAACAACTAAAATATCTTCTGGTTCAACAACTCCCATAATTAAATATCTAAAAGCTCTAGTTTGGGTATAGAACTCTGACTTAAATTTTGATTTGGCCTTCAGTGCCACACTTCTTTTATGTACAGCTGCAATTTGGACTTTATGGCTATTGTCATATTTAAACTCCCATCTCTTTGATATTTCATCAGTAGTGGTTCCAATGTATCTTAGAACTTCACCACCGAATCTAACAAAAGCACAGTAAATTATGTCATTACTCTTGTGCATATCAATTGCTTTTGCAAGTAAATTGAAATCCTTAATAATATTCTTGGGTTCTCGTTTCTCTTTTAACCAAGAAAACAATGGATTTGTAGTGGTGTTCAATTCACCAAGAGATTTGATGAGGATGTTCAATTCTGGTTTGTTATCTTGACAATCCTTCGTCACTTTGTCAAAAGCAATTACTTTATCAGGATCCACTAATCTTGTAACTGATCGCATGTAGTTCCCTCCTTTAATGGGATTCTTCTTGTAATGAATTGAGATGTTCTTCGTCAGATTTGAGAGTGAACTAGTATTGTTTAGAGAAAAAAAATGTCCCTTCTCCACGCCAAATAGACCAATTGAAGAACACCAACAAAGCAACCGAATATTTGCAAATGGCCAAGGTAAAAACTTTTCTATAGAATTTACATTTAATGATGAATATACCCGCTAAATTATTTTGATGATAATTTTAACAATTTTTTCGTCAAATTTTAACGTATCAGATTGCAAAATTATGAAATAAAGTTTATTGAAAAATGTTAAAAATTGATGCTTAAAGCATAATAAAATCGTCAACAAGTGTTGGGAGAAAAATTCCAAATTAACGCGCAATTGACGTCAAGAATTATCGTCAATTCTTAATGATTTATTATCAATTTTTGACGTCAAAAATTGATAATAAATTGATAATGTTTTGTATCAAATATTGATGAAAAAACATCAATAATTACGTCAAAAAATTCATAATAATTATTGTCAATTATTGACTAAATTCCAGCAATTATTTACTCCAAAATCTTGTAAAATTTCCAAGTTCCAAACTCATCTATTATTAGATCCACTTCCATTCCAAATTTCAAACCGAAAAAAATATCTACACTCCTCATCCTCACTCCAACTGATGAAATATCACTCACCTCTTCAGTTACATTCAAAATTAATGATAATAAATCAAAATTACTTACATTGTTTTCTGTTCAAAATCTGTTGCTTGCATATAAATCGTGCTGTTTAGCACAAATTGAATTATAACAAATTACCTAATTTCTTGTGATGAATAATTTTGATGATCCGTAGCAGGTAAAATCATATAATATAAAAATAATACAACAAACCAATTTCGAAGAATAAAATCTTTATAAATCCAACTAACAATAATTAAAAAATTAAGAAATTAAGAAATTTAAATACAACAAACCAATAAACAATAAACTCCGCCAACAATTATTGTATTAACAAATTAATGATACTATTCAATATTTAATGAGTGATCACTGATGATTTTAAATTGTAGTAAAAATAATGTTGTAGTACTAACCGACAGTTTTGTATGATATGATGAGGGAGTTAATGTGTAGACATTTTTTTATTAAAAATAATTTCCGATTTAGTAACCCAACATTTTACAATCAACATTCATCATCACTCATATCATCAGTGGAATCCTCTTCAATGGTTTCTTCCTCACAAGAGGATGATCCAGAATCATTGTTTTCCTCTCTTTCTTTTCTCTTTTTTGAGGTGGTCTCCTCAAGTTCTGTCTTCTTCTTCTTCTTTACTGATTCATTTTGTTTTGCACCCTTCTGCAAATTCTGCATTTTTGAAACACTATAATGATTTAGTTGATGAGAATGAAAGAATTAAGAAAGAATTGGCTAGATATAAACAGGCAGTCAAAATATGAATGAAATGATTAATCAAATGGTGAGCTGTTTAGATGAGTATCAAGATGTCTTTGCATAGGGAGACTCTATTGTGCATCAACCAAAGAAAATTCAAAATCTTTGAAACAAACTCGATACTCAATAAGAATACACCCTAAATATGATACAATTAATCTTGCACCCTTTAGAGATATAGAGTATTGGAAAAATCACATTCAAAAAGGGAATTTTGATCAAGGGTTGAAATCAATTTCACCAATTTTGGATCAAGATTGGAATCCATCACCATCAGATATTTGTTGCTATGATTCAATGCATGTATTATATGAAGGAGTTTTCCAAGAAATGATGAAAATGATCCCTATTCAATACTGGGAAAGATTTGACATTGTTTCTGAAACAAAAGTATCCATCATTCCTTCACAAGCATCCTAGAAAGACCACAAATGGCCAGATTTTGAACAGTCTAAAGGCAATTGAAATTTACATGATCTGTCATTATTATTTAGAGCTGTTTACGCATATCGAAGGATTTAAGGAAATAGAATCAAAGGTTGAAATATTCATAGATTGCCTCTATAATTGATAAGCTGACAG